GCAGAGGTCCAGTCTTGCTGGGGTTGATTCTCCCCTCTGTGTATGCTTTCAGAAAACAGCCCAGATGATGCCTCCACAGCCTTCCCTGGAAGTTTCCTCATCTGTAAAATGAGGGGGCTTTGACTACCCATAGTCCCTTCCAGCTTTAGAACTAGAACCTAGTAGAACTTACAGATGAGTTTAAACACTCCATAGATAGCTGACGGCCAGGACACTAATATGATTCTTTATTCTCAGTGGAGTGTCCTGTCTAATATGCAGTGCAGCCTCCATCCTTTGCCTAGGGGTCACTCTACTATGTCTGCCCCAGTTTGGAGACTTTAACTCACAAAGGGGATGAGGGAAGCCATGACTGTACAAGGTATCCCAAAAGTCTGAGTGCCTTTTCAGCCTTCAGTACTGACTTTAGGGACACTCTCCACACCAAGAATTTCCCTCTCATTTTCTCCCATGGAGATTGAAGCCAAAATTTCAGTGGGTGGGAATTAGCATGGTAAAGGGGCTTTCTCAGTCATACTCTAGATGGTTGTGTTTTCTCTCAGTAGCCAAATCAGTGCTTTAGGAGAGATTTTGAATGTGGGGGTAGAACCAGGTTAATCTTTTCCCATGAGAGCTTTAAATTTGAGGGCTAGAAAGAACCTTGAGAAGTCATCTATGGCATCCCCCTGCTTTTAGACAAAACTACTTCAGGACTGAAAAAAAAGTAGAGTCGTAGCATCAGAGAGCCAGAAGGAGCTTAGTGGCCACTGAGTTTAGCCTCCTTATTTTACAGGTGAAGAGAATGACTCACCCAAGGTCAAGCAGCTTGAAAATGAATAGAATTCTAAGATGACTTACAGTTGAATGGAGGGCATGTCAAAAATCCCTCCTCCCTGCTACCATGGCTTTTGTTATGGTTTGAGCCACTGACTAGCTGTGTGACCTTAGGTCAGTTACTAATTTATAAGGTTGGAAGGTGCCTCAAAGACCATTTGACCCATGCTAGAACTGAGGACCCCTGTAGAACATTCTCCACAAGTGGTCACCTAATAAGTGTTTATTCATTGATACTGAGTGATTGGCCATCCAGTTTCTGATTGGTGACATGCAATGAAAGAGAGCCCAGCCTGCCCCACCCCCACAGCAGCCAGTTCTGCCAAAATATGACCCTCTACAGCCTCTACCCACCGCTCCAATACTGCCATCTGAGGCCAGACAGACCCAAGCTAATTCTTCTTCCCAAGACCTGCTTTCACACATTTGAAGACTGTTCACATGTTCTCCTCAAGTCTTCTCTTTTCCCAATTATTCCTTCAAGGAACTCAGTCTTCCTTTGTCATGTTCCCCAGCCTTCTTACCATCTCATTTGGCTTCCCCAAGATGCACTTGGGTTTATCAATGGCATTCTTAAAAGCTGGCACCCAAAACTAAACAAATTGTCCAGATGTGGTCTGGCCATGGTGAAGCATCAGTAATTAACCTTGTTGTTCTAAACGTTGTGTCTCTCTTATTGAAAGTATGGTTAAAAAAAGAAAAAGAAAGTATGGTTTAGTGAAAAGAGCAATGGACTGGGAACCAGAAGACCTGAGTTCAAATCTTGCCTCTCCTAATACTCACTATGTGACCTGGGGCAAGACATTCAACCTTCTAAGCCTTCTTCTCTCATTTGTAACATACATGTAATAATACCTGTGTTATTATATGTAGACTATCTTGGTGGCACAGGGCATAGAGTGCCTGACCTGGAGTTAGGAACACGAGTTCAAATCCTGCCTTAAACACTTACTAGCTGAGTGATCCTGGGCAAGTCCCTTAACCACTCTCAGACTCAGTTTCCTTAACCATAAAATGGGCACAATAATAGTATCTAACTCCCAGGGTTTTTTGTGAGGTTCAAATGAGAAAATATCTGCAAAGCGCTTTGCAAACTTTAAAGCAGTTTATAAATGTGCACTGTCATTATTATCATTACTATAGTAATAAATGAGATAATGTATCTGAAGTGCTTGACAATGTTTAAAGTGCTAGGTAACGTCAGCTGCTATCATCATCATCATCATCACTACAGTTATTATCATTGAAGCTTAGGATTCGTCTTTGTTCAGTCGTTTTAGTTGTATCTGCCCTTTGTGGCCCCATTTTGGGGCTTTCTTGGCAGAGATATTGGAGTGCTTTGCCATTTCCTTCTCCAACTCATTTTACAGATGAGGAAACTGAGGCAAACAAGGTTAAGTGACTTGCCCAGGGTCACATAGCTACTAAGTGTCTGAGAGCACATTTGAACTCGGGTCTTCCTCACTCCCACTAGTGTTCTATCCACTGTGCCACCTAGCCGCCTCTAAGTTTGGGATCCTCTCAGGTATTTTGGTTGCCATATCCTACTTTTGACTCATCTTGAACAAGTAGTCAACCAAACTTCCCAGTTCTTTTTCATAAGAACTCTCATCAAGTGATATGCCAACGTCACTTCCACACAATGGCTGGCACACAGTAGGGATTTAAAAAAAACACTTATCAATTGATTGCTTCATTTTATCTCTTTAGTCTTCAGTTTCCACATTTGTAACACAAGGGCATTGGACTAGGTTACTGATAAAATCCCCACTTCTGCAGTTTTTAGAGGGGGAGTGGTGATAGAAGAATGGTTGGAGCCACGAGTGAGGCTCGGATCAGGGATGAGATGGGGATTGGAGCTGGTGATGGGCAGGACAAAGAGCAGGGGTAGGTCTGAGAACAGGGCTGAGTCTAAGATGAGTTCTTCATGGTTGGTTGGTTTTCTTCATTGCTGTGTGACTAAATGTCGTGTCCATGAGGGTGCCCCAACTATACTGACTGTGCCAACGACGTGAAAAAATATGACGACAAGCTCTGGGAAGAAGTCAATGTGCTTGGCACAGATTCATTGTCTCCTTCATGAGATTTTACCTTCCGCAGCCCCCTCGCTCTTCCCTCCACTTTCCTCAGCTAATCTTTGCAAAAGAAACTATCATTTAATCTCTAGAGAAGAAGGAAGGGTCCAGGAGATTTCCATTTTCCTACTGACTAATTCCAATCTACATGACTCCAATTCCTAATCAATCCAACCTATACTTATCAATTGACTTGGGTGCAAAGCACTTTACTGGGTGCTGGGATGCTGAGACAAAAATGTTACAGTCTCTGTTCTCAAGAAGCTTGCATTCTGTTGGGTGGTAGATTGCAGTCGGAGAAGCCATGCCAGGTAGTAGACAGAGCTGTGCACTTGGGGGTCAGGAACACCTAAGTTCAAAGCCTGCCTGCTGCAGATGCTATCTGGCCATGTGACCCTAGGCAAGTCATTTGACCTCTGGGCTTCAGTTTCCTCATCTGGAAAATGAGGAGGCTGGACTCATTGGCCTCTGGACCTTTGTAGCTCTAGATCCATGGTCCAATGATAATTTCCTTCTCTGGGCCTCAGTTTCTTCCAGTGTAAAATGATGAGGTTGAACTAGATAGTCTCAAATGTCCATGTCTGCTCTATGATCTTATGTTCCTTTATCTTACTTAGCACAGTGACTGTCACATAGCTAGAACTTAATAAATACCTTGCCTATTGACTGAATTCCTCTTTCTGTTAAATGGGAATAACACCTCACTTTCCTCACATCAGGACTATTAGATCAAATAGGAAAAAAGAAGCTTGGAAAAGGAAAAGCACGGGACAAATGTTAGGAGTTACTATCCTAACATTAAATGTCCAGTGGTGTTTTGTCAATTACTCTAGTGGTTTCTGAACAGACATAACTTGGAATCATGGCTCTGTAGAGCCTGACTTTGTCCTTGTCGTGATATGGGCCAGAGGAGCAAAGGAAGGGCAAAAAGACAGATGCTCCCAGTGGGGAACAAAGCATACTTGGGAGCTCTGCCTTGGTATGTGCTGATCTTTGGTCCTCTCTGGGAGGTCCCCTTTCTTTAGTGTGCTGCTGAGTTAGCACAATGCAGGGCTCAGCCTCCCAAGTTCATTTGGAGGACATGTTTATTTTCTCTGAATGAGAGCATCAGTAAATACATTTTGCAGACCAGGGTGTCCAAGCTCATAACACACTCTGACTCTGTGAGGTCTGCAGTCTCAGCTCAAAAAGAGGGCCATTAAAATTAATGTACCAGCTCTATCTGCTAATGGACCACTTGGGGCACATAAGTCAATGTGGGTAGTAGATTGTAGTGAAGGAATTTATTTGCATCATGTGATTTGCCATGACACTCTGCTGCCACGACATTCTGCCATCGTGACTTTCTACTGCCATGACATTCGACCGCCATGACATTCTACCACCATGACGTTCTACTACTGGAACATTCTACCGCCATGACATTCTACCACCATGACGTTCTACTACTGGAACATTCTACCGCCATGACGTTCTATTGCTATTAGATTTTACAACCATAATACTCCATTGACAAAACTTTTTATTGCAACAATATTCCATTGACATGACATCTTACCATCTATAACCATACTACTCCACTGCCCCAACATTCCATTGCCATGACATTCTATTGCTGTTCACAACATTCTATTCCATTTGCACAATGTTCTGTTGCCAGGATATTATATTGCCCTGACATCCCATGGTCAGGATATCCTGTTGCTATAGTATTCTGTTTCCAATGCCACACCAGCAGTTATTTCGTGGTCATTGTCCTCTTTGTGGTATATCATTAATTTCCCATGCTGAATTTTCATCAGAGATGCCCACAGAATGGGAATACGGGCAGATTCCAGGCATAAAATGAGATTGTTTTAGGCTGTGTGCCGTGAAAGGCCTGAGGTACTATGTAGCTGGAATCACAAGTTGCCTATTAGAAGGGCTAGCATTCAGAGCAGGTCAGAGGCTGCTGTGTGGATCTCGCCGCCTTGGGTCATCCTGGGGGAATGGGGGTGGGCGTCTGTGTTTCAGATATAGTCTAGTCTGACTGAGCCTCTGTGACTTCACTGAGGAATCCCAGGGCCATGCTGATGGACTTTCCTGTCTGATCTTGCCTCCCATGTACCACAGGATCGATAAACAAATAAGCAGGTTTCGAGGATGGTTACCTAGAAAGCCTATGAGACTGGACAAGGAGACACTGCCCGACCTGGAGGAAAACGACTGCTACACTGCCCCTTTCAGTCAGCAAAGGATCCATCAGTGAGTGTTTCTGGTTAAAAGCATGTCCATGAGCTCGGGCAGAGCCTTCCCCTCCCCTAGAGCTTGGTGGGGTGGGAGACAGGGCAAGATGGAGACTAGCTCAATTTTTTATTTTTATTAAAAAAAAAAGTTTTCGAGATTGGCTCTCTCTTCCTTGTCCAGGCTGGAAGTGCAGCAGCCAGTCATGAGCCTGATGCTAGCACTGGCCAGTCTGGGAGCCTTGGCCTGCTGTCTTTCTGACTGGGGCCTATTCACCCCTTCTTGGTCAGTCTGGTGACCTTCTGCTGCTAGAGGCTCGCCATATTCGGGTGGGACTTAGTGTGGACACCCAGTAAGCTTAACCTACTGCTGCTTAGACCTCTCAAGCTCAAGATCTCACCAGCCTCAACCTCCTCCTCAATTATCAGGGACTATGGGTATTCACCACCAGACCTGGGAGGCTAGCTTTCAATCAACTGGAACCGCTGTGCATTGAAACTTTAACTTTCCTGAATTCAGAGGGAATGGTTCTAGCAGAGTCCTGAGGCAGTGTGGCCCTGTCAGAAGAGCATGCTCTGGAGTCAGAGGACTTGGGTTCAAATTCTACCAGTGTGACTTGGGGCGAGTCACTCAAACTTAGAAGTTTCTTCCAGAGTAAAATGAGGAGGTTTGACTGGGCGACCTTTGAGGTCCCGTCTCACTCTAGGTCTGTGTTCCTCAGCTGATTGTTCTCTCTGAACCCCAGGTGACCTGGGCAAGTCATTGACCTCTCTGGGCCTCAGTTTCCTCATCTGTAAAATGAGGGTGTTGGTTAAACTTTTGATTTTAGGGGACCTGTGAACTTGTTTTTTAATATTTTGAAAACTGTATATCAGTGCCATAGATTACCTTTGGAATCCCATATATGTTATTTTATATATTTAAAACCATGAGAAGGGGTCTCTAGGCTTCACCAGACACTGCCAAGGGGAGCCACAACACAAAACAAGTTAAGAACTCCTCATCGAGATCTGTGACCTTAAACTGATTCTTCTTTCTGGGCCTCACTTTCCTCATCTGTAAAATTAAGGGGTTGGCTTCCAAGGTCTTTTCCAGGTCCAGATCTAGGATCCCAAGTTGCTTCCTCTAGTCTGTAAAATGAAGGGATTCAACTCGATGACTCAGAGGTCCTTTCTGAGTTCTAAATCTATGATCTTATAACTAAGACTAGGAAGAATGAGAGAAAAGGCAAACTCTGAAGCTTCTGAGATAAGAAGATGCTTCAGGGGCATGGCAGGGCGAGGAGCGTGAATGGAAAGCCTTTCAGAGAACATAAGCCACCAGAGAAAAATCTTTCCTCTGGACTAAATCAAGGGTGCCCTATGTGCACCCTTGGGCACAGTCTCCCCCTTCACTGAAGACTCGAGACCCCCTGATGCTTTTGCTCCAGAGGTAAAGATGGTACCAGGAGCAGTGATTGACTGGAGCAGCCAATAGACTACAAGTGACTAATGATCCAGTCCCTTCCCTTCTGGGGGATGAATAATTCAGGATCAGAGCAACCAAGAGACTGCTCACATTGACCTCATGGGGGAATGTTTGGGGAATAGAAAGTTAATTAGACACAGGGGAAGATGGTATGGGGATAAACAGGGAGGAGAAAGCCAGAGAACAGACTGTGTGCATCACAATGTGAGATGCTCATGAGACACCGATGGAAGGGAAGGGAATGGAGGCAGCCCCTGAAAATCCTCCACTCAGGTTTCTGTGGGCTGAGAGGGGAATGACTCCTTGAATATTCAAATGGATCACTAAAAGCTCTAACAAATACAAATCAGAATCCTTGCCCCAGTCAAGTGGAAGCAGAATATACCCAGGAATTTTGATAACTTGGGTAAGTAAATTAAATTTAAATATATGTACATAAAAGAACATATATATACATGTATGTCTGTGTGTATATAGATATGTGTGTGTAGAAAAGAAAGAAAAGCTAAGAAGGAAGGAAGGAAGGAAGGAAGGAAGGAAGGAAGGAAGGAAGGAAGGAAGGAAGGAAGGAAGGAAAGAAAGAAAGAAAGAAAGAAAGAAAGAAAGAAAGAAAGAAAGAAAGAAAGAAAGAAAGAAAGAAAGAAAGAAAGAAAGAAAGAAAGAAAAGAAAGGAAGAGAAAGAAACAAACACACACACATACCCTCAGTTGAGGTCAAGGAAAACAGGACTCTACCCCCTTGGTGGAAAGACAAAGACACACTCGCTTGAGACCATGAGAAGCAGAGCAAGGGCCAAAGAACCAAACATGGTGTCAGCACCCACTAAACCTGGTGCCCGGGGCTAACGTGCCTGTTGGTTCAGCTTGGTTAAGCCTCCAGGAGCTGACAGTGGGAATCAAGGGAGGCTTAACTTTCAACTTCAAGATCAGAGACTGGGAGAATTTTTCTAAAGGAAAATAAAAAGCCATCAAGAAAACTGAAATTTTTATCACTCTTCATTTGAAGTCTGGTCATGTCTCACTTGCTAATCTTGAGGTTTCTGAGACAAATAATAACGTTGTTACTAAATCTTCTTGATTCAGATTAACATGCAGATTGTGGCCTGGTGTCTCACTTGAATCCCATGTGTTCTGAAGCTCTATTGTATTACCCAGGAAATGTAGCTGATAAATAAATGGGTAGGGAGGATGCTTCCCACTCCCCACTTCTTTCTCGGGGGTCATTGTTTCAGCCTCTGTCTCCATCAATAGCAAATGATATTAACCACAACATTCCTGGGACCCTCTTCCCTCAAATCTGCAAAGTTTTGCGTGACTTCCTTTAAATATAGAAACTGTCTCTAAAAATGTGTGATGGTCACAGGCTCATAGCTCTGGAGCTGGGAGGGACCTTAAAGGTCATTTTCCTGAATCCAGTCTCCCAATGAGGAAAGGAATATGACCTGAGTGAGAGAAGAGGCAATATGGTGTAGGCCACCAGGAAGATAGAGGCCTGAGTTCTCAGAGATTAGATTACATTACATTAGCTGGTTCACCTTTACTTCCTACAACTAAATCCTGTTGATCCGACCTCTGAAAAATTTCTTTCTTCTGTCCTTTCCTTTCTCCACTGCCATTACCCTAAAATAAACCTCCATTCTTACCCATCTGAACTACAGGACTGGTCTTTTGGCTCTCTGATACATCCTTCACGACACTAGCATTCTTGTGTGTGGATCTGATCATTTTACCCCTTAAGCCTTAAATGGCTCCCCGTTGCCAACCAGATAAACCCCCCCCAAAATCAGCCTACTATTTAAGGCCTTCCATAACTCAGAGCCTCCCTTGAACACCACTGAAGGTGACTTTGACTGAGTCACCCAAACTCTGGGCTTCATCTCTTAACTACAAAAAGCAGGAATTGGACAAGACTTAGGGTCTTACCCTTTTCAGCTCTGGATTGGCAGGGACCTCACCTGCGCCAGAGGGAATGGAGTAAGAAAAGGCATGGAGTCAGTTTCATCTGTAAAATGGGGATAATAATAGTACCTCCCTCCCAGGTTGTTGTGAGGACAAAATGAGATAATATATGCAAGGTCCTATATCAGTACTAATTATTAGTGTTGTTACATGGTGAGGAAAGAAGGAAGAAAACGAGTGGTGGTTAAGCACCTACTGTGTGCCAGGTATTGTACTAAGCACTTTACAGATCGCATCTCATTTGATCCTAACAACTTTGGGGGGGGGGGAGTGCAGGTGCTATTATTTTTCCCTCACTTTATATTTCAAGAAACTGAAGCAGAAAGATGCTAAGCAGCATGGGGAGTCACTTTAAAATAAAACTTTAAGTTAAGTTATAATTTTCCCATGAATGGCATGCTAAGGGGATCACACTTTTTTTCTTATTAGATCATAAGGAATGTCACCTCGGGTGTAACCTCACTGGGCCTGTGCTTTAAAATATAACTTAGGCAGAGTTTCCTAAGGTCCTAGAGCCAGGCTTCAGAGGTCATCTAGTCTAACCCATCCATTCTATATGTGGGGAAACTGAGACCCAGGAGTGATAGGATCATACAGCTGGTGCTACAAAGGAGCCCAGAGAACATCTAATCCAACCCATTCCCCCTTTTATATGGACTCAGGAAACAGAAACCCAAGGAGAAGAGATTCATTAAAAGTCATGCAGGTAACTCGCCATCCAAGGTACCAGCAGAGCCAAGGCCCTCTGCCTGCAGAGCACTTTCAGAGAGTAGTTGTACTGTTCACTGGAGTGATAGCAGCAGTGCCATTCTCCTTTCCACATTGTGACTTTCCCCATCACGATTTTGGTGTATCTCAGGTCAACAAAAGAAATTAAATGGGAATTTGGGGGGAGTTTTGCAGAAGCTGCAGAAAACATGCAAAATCAGCAGACAACATAGAAGAAGTTTAGAAACGCAGAAATGCATCAAATGTATGTATAGTGTTATATAATATCAACCCAAATTTTACAATAAGACACTGTAAACACCCTGTGAAAGAAAAGGAAAGAATTCAGACTACTTCTCTGGTACAAAGGGAGAGCTAAGAAATTTTACATCAGTTTTCCAGATTTTGGGGTGACATACCCTTAACCCCTGCAATGTGGAAGAGATAACTGTAGTTACTATCTAAAGATCGTAGCACAGTGCCTAGCTCATAGTCAGTGCGATATAAATGCGTATTCCCTTCCCCTTTAGGTGCAAGTGATATTTCAGTGGTAGAAGCAGCAGTATTTAATAACTAACTGGAAATTGGGATGGAGAGGGAAGACTCCAAGGTAACTGAAGGGGCAAGTCAGGCTGATGGAGAAAATGCCCATTGGCAGAATAAGGGTTTTAGGAGGAAGGGAAGGATTTGTAAGAATGATTTGAGTTCTAGACATGAGTTTAACTGCTTAGTGGGACATACAGGTCCATCTGTTGAATCAGAGTCTGGAAATATTAGACTCAGGCTCTGGGGAGAAGTTGGGGCTAAAGATTCAGGTTTGGGAGTCACCTGCCTCGGAGAAATCATTGTTTGGTATCACTGAAGCCAGAGGAGTAGAGACTGTCAGGA